TGTTAGAAACCGTGGTTATTTAAGCAGATACGAAAACAGCAAGAAGAAAAGAAGACAGCAACAACAGCTTGTACTTGGTGATACCTTCATTAGTCCAATGGAAAAATCAAGTAGATTTCAAGCTTTTGGGCAGTATATATTCCATTCTCCGTCTCATCCCATGTGTTCATGGAGTGACAGAACATAGGTATGTTTCCATACTAGGGCTTAAATCCAATTGCTAGTCCCAAATGATGTTGAGTTGACCCAGTGACTCAGTGGAGCCTAAGTAAGTATTTGGCCTTTGACTCAATGGGTTCTAATCTAATTGGGAGTAGCAAGTGAAGTTAGACCTAAATTTTTTACATGGAATAGCCACATTTAGTTTGCCTACTTTCTGAGGGACATCTACAACATACCACCACCAAATCATTATATATATATAATATAAAATAAGCCAGTAACAGAATAATGCACAATGTCTGCAGGTGTGGATTGTTTTGGATACTACTTTTCATGGAAATCTTTCCGGTGGCTGCCATTTTATCATACAGTATTTGTTGTTTTTTATGTAATTTTTATTATGCTGAATTGATTTTCTGAGTATTTAAATTTTACAAAAAATTGTTTTACAAAAAACAAAACAAGCAGGGGTTGTGTTGTAAGTTCCATGCTCCCCCAAATATCAACACCTCCACTCCTTTTCTACAATATTTGGTGCTCATCTGAAAAAAAATTTAGTGCACTTCTTTTGGTGGACCTTTTAAGGGCAGCCATAAAACACTCTTAAAGGAGCCCATCTTAAGGATAAAAAGAGCTTTTAAAAATGATCTCCCATGAGATCAATCTTAAGTTTCCACTTCTGATGTGACTACGGTATACCCACTGATATGAAGGGAATACATCATGATACACACATCCAGAAACGTTTGTGCTCCGAACATTGTGCAAATCATGTTCTTGTTTTACACCATCAAGTGGCTTTCAATATTGGGTGACCTCAATATGGTTTTCAAGGTATGTGAGATGTTCAAGCAGGGGTTTTACCCTTGCTACCCAACAGGGAGTTTCTGGTGATAACTGGAGTTTAAACCCCAGTGTCCTGAGGTCCAGGCTTACACTGTTCACTACACACACTGACTCTCTCTTTTATATTTGCAAATGAAGTGTGTAGATGCAGAAACCAAACACAATCAAAACTAGTTTCAGGTAATTCGCAAACTTCAAGCGATGCACAAATCTGCTGTGACAATCACACAACATTCAGAAGCCCCTCCTAGGTGTGAAAGGACCCCCAGGAATCCATAATTCAAACTTCAGCAGACATTTGGCAAGAACCTATTTCTAGGAAAATGTTGTATTGAGCGGTCCTGTTTTCTTTTCTGCAGGTCCCTGCTAATTATGGCTGAGAAACACACTATCTCTACCTTCCCTAAACTTTGATTTGAGGTGCTGTCACAATAGCTTCCAGAGAAGCATGACCTCACTTTTAAGTCCCATTTAACAGTGTAGAAACAGGAGAGATAAAAAAATATTTGCAGAACATTTGCGGGGAGAAATCTTCATTGAACATAATCTCTATGAAACAATTGCTGGTCTCATGGAATTGGACCACTTTGTTTCATTGTAAGATTTAAAGCAAGGTATGATTATCTGGCAAGAAAGAACAAGGAAAAGTCAAAGATCTGTCAGGAATTAAATCTGCTTTGTACTCTGGATCACTGTTTGTTCAACAGGAGTCAAAGCTAATAAATCAGGAGTGAGAGATCCATAGTCCATGGACTGGCCCCCCAACTACTCCAGACCCCAATATTCTAAAATGTATTTTCATAACATCTTTAAATTTACAGTCTTTTTGTACCCTGTAAGGGGTGAGGGAGGCAATTTTGCCGTGGGTTTTGGATCTCACAGTACCCTTGCCCTCTACCCTCCAGGATTTAATTTTTTTTTAATAAGTTGGTCGCAAAAGGACATGAATAGCCTTTTTCAAGATAAAAAGCTTTGTGAGAATCAAAATATGTTGAGATTAGTGAGGCACAGAAGGGGGCAGAGCCCTTCACAGTCCAGGGGTTCATGTGTGTGGCTCTTGGAACTGTGGAGGTTGCCCACCACTATTTTAAATACATCATGGCATGAGAGAGTCCATCTAACTCTTACCAGCACCTCAAGACAATCAAAACTATTGCCTTATTTAGCAGAGTTTATTAGTTTCAAGTGAATACCACTTCCCTGTTCTTAATGGATTGATTCACCCTTCCCTGATAGACACCTCAAGTATGCAGACTACAGATGCTACCTGTCCACCCAGAGAGAGAGAGAGAGAGAGAGAGAGAGAGAGAGCACCTATCCTGAGCTTCTCTCTTCCTCATTACCAAAAGTATTAGCTAGATGGAGGCATGGTGGCTTAATGATGACAAAAAAAATTCCTCAGTCCTGATTTCATCTCATTCCTCTCATCCTTGCTTCCCACATCAAAAATCATATATATATTAGAATAAATTTTTCCTAAACTACGGCATGTTTCTACGTGAATTCTTCAACTTTGTACATTTTGGCTGTTAGAAGTGCAAAGGTGGACTTCTAACAGCCATTTGGAATGTGGCCTTTTTATTCAAATGTGGACATTTTTATTCTCCAGGGTCCAAGAAGACTTCTTCTAGCAAGATTTTTTTTACCCTGTGGAATTCTTCTTTTTTTTTTTGTCTATATTCCAAGTTTTTATGTACGATTGCAGTTTGCAGGAATTAGGTGTACATCAGATTGCAGCATCTTAATTTCTAACTGTGAGCTTTAATGGACAAATCCACTTCCTCAGACCAAAGAAAGAAGAAATAAAAAACAATGTCTGAGGAAGTGGTCTTGTCTAAGAAAGCTCACATTAAAATAAAGCAGTTAGTCTTTAAGGTGCCACAATGATTTTTGTCTTCTTTATTCATAATTCCTTTTGTTTTGTTTTTGCCTGATACACCAGCACAGACTAACACAACTAACTCTTCCAAAATGGAGGCATGGTGGCTGTAGCCATACTTGGCACCTTAGACATTTTAAAGAAACGGCCACACTTCAGGCTGACATGTGTCAACATGGTTAAAGGCTTTTTATTGCAAGGCTGCATTAGACAGAATTGGCCACTTGAATATATATACTGGAATACTAATCTCAGTATAATCTCAAACGTTGCTCATGGAATGCACAAAAAATGTCAGGGTCCGGGCTCAACTATACCTTGGGGTCAACTTAGCCAATTCTGAGTCTTTCTCAAGACTTATCTATACTTGGCTCCCACGCTGTTTATTGGTATGAAGAAGAACTGGTTGTTGTTAAGTCATTTAGTCATGTCCAACTCTTCGTGACCCCATGGACGAGAGCATGCCAGGCCCTCCTGTCTTCCACTGCCTCCCAGAGTTTGGTCAAATTCATTCTGGTAGCTTCGATGACACTGTCCACTGAATACCACAGTTTTGAAAACAGATTTCATAATACACCATTTAACTAAAATATTGTCTCTATTCCCAGTTTTTATGTATGATTGCAGTTTGCAGGAATTAGGTGTACATCAAATTGCAGCACCTTAATGTCTAACTGCTCTATTTTAATGTGAGCTTTCATGGACAAATCCACTTCCTCAGACCACAAAGAAAGAAGAAGAAGAAACATTGTCTGAGGAAGTAGTCTTCTTTATGAAAGCTCACATTAAAATATAGCAGTTAGTTTTTAAGGTGCCACAATGTTTTTTGTCTTCTTTATTTATAATTTGTTTTGTTTTGTTTTTGCCTGATACGCTAGCACAGACTAGCACAGCTAACTCTTCCAAAATGATCAGATTGCAGGGATGTTATCTGCCATTGTGATTTTGAATTATTAGATCAGAGGAAAAATTGCAAAGGTTCTCTGATGCTATGGATAATACCTGGAGTTTGTATGGTAGTATTTAATCATTCTCATTTCCCACTCATTTATGATCTGGGAGGCAAGTAGCATAAATTCTCAGCTGCCTTCCATTGCAAATACTGTAGTATGTAATCTAGTCCTGACAAAACTAAAATGGGATTTTATAAATTGGTCATGGAGATTTGTGAGGAACACCTTAAGGCTAGTTGATACATTTACAGTACATATTGTAAGTGTACTGTTGTGTGATTAATATCAGTGTCTTCTTGAATTACAGTGAACTGTTATTTTAATGACTGGTCATTTTAAACAAATCAGTCAATCAATAAATCAATAAGATACCCCAGTATTTGTTTCTTCAAAGTGTTTTCTACCCAAATACGAAGAGGTGGAAACCATAGGGTGGATAAAAGTAGAATATATGCAGGGAGAATAAAGGACAGACCATACTTCTAATACTGTGGGGATGTTTCCTAACCAAATTCTAGTGCTCCAGACACTCAGAAGAATGTTCTGTTTCCAGCTGGCAATTTGTTGGCAACTGGAGCATGTCGCCTCTGCTTTACTGTATTGGTATTTGCTAAGAGAGAGAAAGAGAGAGAGACTTCTACTTGTTCTCCACCACCACCACCACCACCTTTGTTCCAGTTTGTTACACTACACAAGAGAAAAAAGTACTGCAGCGACAAAAATCAATGAATCTAGCGGGATTTTTTTAAAAATTCCAACCAGGTATCTAGCTGTGGTGCTGGAGGTTAAGCGTTCGATTCTTTATTGAGCCTCCTTAGAGAAGAGCCAGCCTGAGTAGGCCTCAGCAAGCTGCACAGTCCCAGGGAGCCCCCAGATGGACGGAATGGCAAACCATTTCTCAGTAGTGTATACTGTACCTAGAAAACCCTGGAAAAGTTCCCCATAACTTGACATTGACAAGACAGCATAAAATGGTTCATGTTGATGTCGATGTCCTTAAGAAATAGAGAACACGGAAAGCAGCTGAAACAGGAGAACATTATTTGAGGGGGACAGTGCCACAGAATGTCACCCTTATAGGCTTATTTCTGGGCTCAGCTTTGGAAGAAAGTGTGACTAAAGTTTGAAACTTTCCCCTGTTGGTTAAGAGGGTCAATTGCTTCACTAGACCTTTTGCCTTGTCCCAGGTACATTCCACTAGACTAGAAGGAGTTAAAGTCCATTCTAACCCTAACGCCCACAGTCTATAGAAGGAGGTGATGCAACCGGAGTGCAGCCAATCCTACTGTTTTCCAGGCTTGTTACTTTCTCCGCAGGCTTCCTTGGGTAAGCAGTTTCATTCTCCCTCCCACCACTCACCCACCACCCACTTCCCAAAGCCTTCCTCTTTCCAAACTGTCCCAGGGGATTGGTTTCTGGGTTCTTTGATTCCTTGTGACTCTGATGTTACATTTCTCTCTTGTAGAAAACCCACAGGTTTTCATTTTATCTCTTAGACCCAGTTCTCTCCATCTACCTATCTCCCGGTTTTCTTGTTTAGATTCCCTTGCGCAGGTAGCTGAGAGTGGGTGATATTTTGTTCTCTCATCAGGAAAAGCACATAATTCAGGCAGGGAGGACGGCACAGTGCCTGTCAGAGCAGTGAAGAGGAATGGATTCTATTGAAGACTTTGAAAGTATTCAAGTCTTACATCAGTACCAATATGGACTTCTCATTTCCAAGGTAAGAGTCATGAGTCGTGCCTGTGTGTGTGTTAAAACTTGGGAGGACTTTCAAAATGTCAGATTGCGAATGGATCCGTGGAATCAACAATTTTTCTTCTCTTTTTGGAACCTGGGCTGGTTTTCTGTGTGGTGGCTTTGTAGTTCTGACAGCTAGTGAGGTGGGGAAAAAGAATGTAGGAACGCAACCGATATAGAAACACTGTTAGGATTCCATCAAATTTATATTCCTTCTATATCAGTCCTTCACGAAGGACATGTCTGGAAGCATTCATTTCCCTTCAATACTTTGAGTGGGTGTCTTCAATCAATCCACACCTGATGCTGCACAGTACTGATGACCTTCCAGGTCAGAAACCGTTTTTCTGTTGAGACAATTGAATGTACCAGGTTTCACATGGATTAGAAGAAATTTGTGGAAATTAGTTAGAAACACTTTGTAGCACATGGGTATAAGGAGGTTTTGCCTCTATCCAAATCTCCTGCTCAGCTCTGCATTTATCCTTCCCAACCGTTGTCTTCTACCTCTTTGCCTTGCCATTGTGCACTTCCTTCAGACTGGCCTTGAACTTGCCCTGATGTCATTCATGAGCCAGGCAGGTTTGAAAATCACAGAGGTTCACATTCAGAAGGGAATGGATAATGGATTTCACTGTTCCATTATGTGGTAACACAAACAGAAAGTACACGTCTTCCCCATTACAGGCTGACATGTCAAGAAAAGGTTAATATCACAATATAAGTAGTCCTTTGATGTCAAGGATGCTAATACCGGTGATGGCTCAATAGTCAATCAGGTCCACTTGGGGATCTTCGGACTGAAGCCTGGGAAAGTTGCTCTCTTGCCAGTTGTCCATGAAGCAAAGAAGATCCTGTAAGAAAGCGCTCTGTTTCTGCTATGACAGTGACTGGCAATGAATAAAGGAGCTTCAAGGTTGTGAATAAGCCAGTGGTCCCTGTAGCGAACAGCCCTGCCCTCACCTGTCCATCACAGCTGAACAATGGAGTTGGAGCCAATGAGAGGACGGAAGGCGGAGCCAAAGGGGGAGGGGGCTGAATATAAAGGCTGGTATATGGAGTATGAGGGAAGATTCTGGTAGTGAGAGACTGTGTGAAACTTAAGAGTGAACTAAGAGTGGGTTAGAGTTCTGTAAGAATGCTGAATGGTACAGAGAGTTATTAGAGGTTTAAAATCAAAGTAGAACTGATACAAATACAAGTGATTAGCAACCCGTGATTTACTTATTGATTAATAATACAGTACTATATGAACTTCCCTGATCTAATAAATGAATTAAGTTTCAAAAGCACACATGTCTCCTTGATTGAATAGTATTGAAGCAGCAATACTGGTGGCAGCGAAGAAAGAAGAGAAGGGAGAACCTCGTGAAGACCTGAGGGAATAGGGGCTTCAGAGGAGGTCGCCACAGTCCCCAACCTTGGGCCTCCAGATGTTCTTGGACTTCAACTCCCAGAAATCCTGGCCAGCAGAGGTGGTGGTGAAGGCTTCTGGTAGTTGTAGTCCAAGAACATCTGGAGGCCCAAGGTTGGGGACCACTGGAATAAGCCATAAACTGTTTGCTTAGACACATGAGTGGCATCTGTGTTGTTATTGTTATGACGGTTACTCAAGACTGCCTGTACACGTTGTTGTTTAATCAAATTGTGCCCAAGGAAGAAGCCCTGTGATACTATTCTCCCTTTGGGTCACCTGTTGAAAAAATTGATATGTTATACTCCCTTTTTCTTAATGTTACACAAACCTTAAAGACCTCTGAGATACCTCCTTTTTAGAAAAAAAACCCATCCTGCAAGGGAATTTCCCCCTCACATGCTTCCCAAGTTTTCAACAGAGGTTCTGGTTCAGGGAGCCTTCCAGTCACAGGGCTGAACAGATGTTCTCATTGTGGGCGTACCCTCTCTCCTTGTTGTATAAAAAGAGGAAAGGTAGCAGTTTTATTATCAGTACATACATGAAAAAAATAAGGTCCTCCATCTACTTGCAAAGATCAGGTTGGGGGAAAAGCCTTTACAGCTACACTTCCATCAATTAATGTCATGGTATTAGCCAGCAGCCGCCTATAGGTCAGAAATCATCAAGGCCTCATTTGGACATTAACCAACGAAACAGAAGAGTCCAGCTGCAACTGATGGGCTTTCAATGGGATCCACCAGTATGTGTCAGCTGCTGCAGCGGATTCTGCTGTGTCTCAAGCCCATCTTTTGCATTTAAAATGTTCGTCTGTTTAGTACCTGCACAACAAACACAGCAATAATATCATGACTGTGATTGATTTATGCATTCTCTCTCTCTCTCTCTCTCCTCCCCTTTTGTACTTTCCACCCTTTTCTGCCCCTCAGGTTATGTTCACTGCCTCTGAGCTGGGAGTATTTGATCTGCTCTTGGAGTCGGGAGAACCCCTGAGCTCAGGGGCCATTGCTGAACGCCTCGGCACCAGCCCCAGTGGAATGGAGAGGCTGCTGGAGGCCTGCGTGGGCTTAAAGTTCCTGAGGATGGAGAGGAAGGAGAATAGAAGTAACCATGTTGTGGGGGGGGGAAGCAACTCAGGCTAATACTCACTGAAGGAGTAGCAGCTGATTGTGGAACTCTTTACACCTCACAACTACTAAGAGTGACCCACAAATGTCCAGCAATTTGCACAGTTCACTATTTCACTCTCACCCTGTTGCTCCTTCCTTCCTGGTCCTATTTCATTCTTTTTTCTCTCCCAGCTATCAGAACAAAAATGTGTATGGTCTGGGGGATAAAAAA